CAGTTTTTTTTTTCAGAAATTCCAAGGCAATCCGAAATTCCGAAGCTTCCGTGTGGATTTTCAGGAATTTGACACAATTCTCGAATTTTTTAGATTTTTGGGACCTGCTCATCAGTTTTATGGCGAGAAAAAATGGTTTTTCGGGGTGGAGAATCCCGAAAAATGTTTATCGATTTTTTATGATCTACCCAATAGGCAGTTCACATTTGCACAAATCGATAGGGATCGTGTTCCGAGTAATGCGATAATTCAGGAGTGATTTTTTGGAATTTTTTGAATAAAGTTACATCTGTAAATCATACAAATTCGTTATCAAAATGCTGGAAATTGTATTCTGAACTCACAATTTGAATTGTTTCTAAAAAATCTTAAAAACCTCAAAACATTTTGAAATTAGAAATTTAAATTTTTAAAAAATTTCCCAAAATGGTTTTTTCATCAGAATCGACTGTTATCAATGACAAACTGTCAATTTTTAAAATTCCCATTGTTTCCAACTGCTCCAGAACACACCCTTATCAGTTTGTATCACCCCGAACAATAGAATTTAAAATTTTTCCTTAAAAATTTGAATTTTCAAAAATTAAAAATTTTGTAGAATATTGAGTATCTCCCCAAAACAAACAAGTGTACTATTTGCTCTCATCTCTCGCACCTGAACGTCAGCGCAAACTCATTTATACGAATAGTAGAAAAAAGTGGGCGGAGCCTATACATTGTTTCAGGTGGTTTTTGGTAATTCTGACCTGATTTTTTGCTTTTTCGAGTGTTTTTTAGGCTTGGGAGTGCCCTAAATCAGCTACCCTCCAAAATAAGAAAATCCTTATCTCCGATAAAATTAGGTATTCATATGTCTCAATTGTCAATCAAATGTTACAAATGACCTGGTATTTTGATATTATCTTCTTTTTTTTCTTTTTCTCTTTTCCCCACACCCTTCTTCTTTTCCTACTATTACACCCCTTCATCTTCTTCTTCTTCTTCTTCTTCCCCGAAAATCGCCAAATCAGCCGACGAGGGAGCACGCGGAACGCGGAGTGCGCAGAGAAAAAGTGTGCATTTGTGGGTGGCCGTGTTTGCGGACACCAGATGAGTGGGAGCCAGAATTGTACGAAAAATTTGGCGACCTTATCGATTTTCGGCGTTTTTTCAAATTTTAGTTTTGCCAAATTCGAGAATTGGGGGTTTTTGGGGTTTTCGACATCGAAAATCTCGATTTTGAGATCAGAAATGAGATTTAGAGCGCTGGAAACCTAGAAAACCCAGAAAGAAATTTGAAAATCAGTGAGTTGGCAAGTTTTTTGTCAACTCACAAAATTTCAACCTGAATTTTTGTAGTTTTTAAAGAATTTTTGGAGCGATCAAGAAGCTGAAACTGTGTGAAAAGCAATATTTTTCCCTATTTTCATTCGGAATTCTGTAAAATTTTCTTCTCATTTTTCAGCTCATATCCTTGTTTTTTTTTGTTGTGTCGCTCTTTTTTTATGTAAAATTGGCTTTTTTTCAATTCTAACCGATTTGTATTGCTAAAAACCCATTTCCCACTTTCAGAAGATGTCTGAAGACCCTTCATCAGCTAAAAGAAGAAAAATCGACGATATCGAAGAAGAAGAAGAAGACGTCATCGTCCAGGACGACGCGATAGTCGAGTTTCCAGAGGAGCCAGAAGACGAATCGGTAAGCCATTCAAGTGTTTTTGATTTGAAAACCGCTGGATTTTCGTAAAAATAGCCCAGATTCCCATTTTCTAGACCTAAAAACGCTATTCCAGACCTATTTTAGCTCTAAAAACATAATTTTCAGTCACCAATCGTAGCAGAAGAGTCCGGACCACTGGAAATGCCAAAGAGGCATGAGGAGCCAGCCGAACCGGATGTTGATATCGTTGGAGACGTGGATGAGGAGGAGCCAGAGGTAACTAGAGCTCGAAATTGCGTTTTTCCCTCCAAAACTTCCCCAAAACCTAAAAATTCCCCATTTCCAGCATCTGCTACACCCAGAAGACGATGAGCTCATCCCAGACGAGAGTTCATCCGACGAATTGATGCGTACACCGACGAAGAAGCGTTTCTCATCACGCGTTCCCGAGCAGGATCATGCGAATTCCGATGGCGAACGCGTCTTCTCGAATTTTCCGTGTCAAGTGATTCCAGAAACTCTGGGCAGAATGACCCGGACGCCTCCAGAAGGCGAGAATCTGATTGTCTACAAAAATGCGAACGGACGTCTTCGAATCTTCGTCGAGGGTAACGGAAAATCGTATTCCGTCTACAGTAACCTGACCCATAAACCGTGTACGGTGTGCAATCGAATCATGAAAATCGGCGAGATGCATTTGAATTTCCCGGCTGATTTAGATCGCCGGAGAATTTGGGCGAATTTGTTGGGATTCAAGTATAAGGACATTCTGCGCAGTAAGATGGGGCCTGTATCGTTCTCCATTGCGGCTGGGCCAATTTGTACGGAACACTTTGCAGAGGAGTGCTTTCGAAATCATAATTTCAATAAATCTGCGATTGAGGCGTTCGGCGTGCCGGTGGCGATATCACCAGATGTTAAGACGACTCCCAGCAAGAAGAGGTAAGAGATTGAGCCCGAAATGAGTCGAAAAATCTAGAAATCGTCGGATTCAGCCGTGTTTTAGCTGTTTTTATCCTTTGAAAACGGGATTTTTGAGCTCAAAATGACCTCAAGTTAATGGATTTTGAACTGAAAAACACTGAGTCAAGTCGGTTTTCTGGTGTCTAAAAATGTCCTTTTAGGCTCAAAATGACCCAAAATTCAAGAATTTCGGGCTTAAAAATGCTTCCTTCAGATCTGATTTTAGCTATAAAAATTGGATTTTTTAGCTTGAAAGCTTAAAAATGCGCGCTGAGCTGAAAAACGCATATTTAAAATCTAATTTTTGCTATAAAAATGTGGTTTTTAAACTTAAAATGTACCCAAACATTGTCAATTTTCGTGAAAATTTGACCTAGAAAAATCAAATTCTCCGAATTTTGCGCTGAAAATCGTCATATTCAGCGCCGGGTTTCAACTGTTTTCATCCTTTAAAAAATGGATTTTTTTAGCTCAAAATGGCCCGAAGTTGATGGATTTTGAACTGAAAAACGCATACTTAAAATCAGATTTTGGCTCTAAAAATGCTATTTTCTAGCTTAAAATCACCGGAAACATAAGAATTGTGGGCTTAAAAATTGGATTTTTTAGCTTAAAATCACCCGAAATTCAATAATGTTTAGGCTGAAAAACGCATATTAAATCCTTTTTTTGGCTCTAAAAATGTTATTTTCTAGCTTGAAATCACCCGAAATTCAAGAATTTTGAGCTGAAAAACGCATATAAAATCCATTTTTAGCTTTTATGCTCAAAATGACTTAAAATGGAGGATTTTAAGCTTAAAATGTACCTAATAACCCCATCTTTGTACCCAATGACCGCCCGAAAGTTGTTCCAGAGTTCCATGGGTGTGTACGATTTGTGATTTCCACTCGTGCAGTGTCGTCGAACTACAAACCCATTTGTTGGACCACACCGAGGAGATGTTGAAGAAAAAGGACAGTTTGGTTGATGTGAGTTTGAAATAGGCGTCCTAAATTTTAGAGATCTGTGTGTCCAGATGTCTCAAAAAATCCTTCAGAAATTGATAATTTGACCCAGAAATGATAAATAATTTCTGAGAAATTTTGATCTAGAAAATCAAGAATTTCTGAGCTAAAAATCGTTGTTTTTAACCTCAAAACTGGGATTTTCAAAAAATGAAAAATCGATAATTTAAACCACCGCCCAAAGTTCCAGGTACCCGAAGCCGGTTTCATGTGTCCATTCTGTCGAAAATGTACGTATGGGTACAAGACGATTTCCGGATACCGACGTCATCTGAACGCCGGACCCATACACCACTGCCACTTGCGTAGGATCTACGAATTCGCGAAAATGAACTGCCGAGCTACAGAACTGGATCCAGTGGATTCCTGGGACAACTGGACGAGAAGGAATGTCTACGTGGCTTACCATGGATGTGAACCTCCAGCCAATGAGATCGTACTAACACCATCGCCAACGAAGAAGGCGTACACTCAGAATCCGGAAGAGAGGACGAGAATGGTTCATGACGCGGAGAGACGGAAGAAGGCGGTGCGGAGTTTGTCGTTTGTAGGGAAGGAAGGGGGAACGAGTGTAAACGATCATAACGTGATGCAACGGCAAGTCTATCTCCAAATTCGACGAGAGTTGGAGCATGCGAAGAAGACGGAGGCGTTGTCGGAGGCAGGGCTGGCTAGTGGAGATTTGAGAAGACGTGTTATTGGAGGAATGGGAAGAGCAGAAGGAGGAGGTGGAGAGGATAATTGGCTTGAGTCGATGGGAATGGAAGAGGAGCAAATCGAGGAAGAGTGAGTTTTGATAGGAAAATTGGCTAGAATTCAAGGCTGAGCAATGAGCCAAACATGGTGGTTTTAGGCTTGAAATCGACAGAGAAAATGAGATAAAACAGCTAGCTTTTGAGCCAAAAATTTTGGATTTTTTGAAAAGAGGAAGGTTTAAGCTGAGCAATGAGTCTCAAAACCTTCATTCTGAGCCAGATTTTGAGCGAAAATATGGAATTTTTCGCTAGAAATTTTTTTTAGAAAATGTACATTTTAAGCTGAGCAATGGGCCATTTTGAGCCAAATTTCGAGCGAAAATTGGGGTTTTTTGCTGGAAAAAGCATCTAAAAATATCTAT